GGCCATCCATCCCAAGAGTAGCAGGCTCCCTCCCACAGGGGCCAAAGTCTGGATGCTGGGGTCTCCACTCAGGGCCTGGTAGTAAAAGCTGGTGCAGAATAACGTGGTTCCAGAGGCTAGTAGTAACCCGGCCTGAAGAAAACGGGGCAGGAAACAGAACTGTAAGTATAGGGTAGACTGAGAAAACTCAGTGGGGGCTTAGTCAGGGTTAGATAGGGGGAAAGATTACCAAGAGGGGCTTCCTGCAATGGGGCACCCCTAACAAGGCCAGGCTGTGAAAGAAGTGATGTTTGTTGGTTTTGTCAAAGAGCTGTAAGAAAAAGAGAAAAAGGGGCACGGGGGGCGGGTACTTCCTAAGCAACACAGGAGGCCTGAAATCTCGTGGTGACTCACGGAACCAAAGTTCTTTCCTCCACCCTACCCTCGAAGTCACAGCTTGCTCCCACACCCCAGGCTTGCAGCCTCCCTCAGGAATCCCAGACTTTATGCCTTAGTAGGCTCGCCGAGTCGAGCAGCCCCCGAACAGTTACTTCACCTCCTTTCCGTAGGCATCTGGGAATTGTGCGCCTGGGGAGTGGAGAAGAAAAGGTTACCAGTCCGGCCCCAATCTTGGGGAACCCAACTGGATACCGGCGAGAAAGGGAGACCCCCAGGAAGCTTCCAATTGGTGGAAACAAACATCGGACAGTACTGGAAACCAATTGCACCCGGCTAGGGGACTTTTAAAGGCTTAGGGCTCCGAGGGCTCTCTGTATGTAGGAGGCTGGACACTCTGCGTAGACTCCGCCCCTGCACCAGACCCCAGAGATCGCTTCAAGCTTAGTCCCAATTTCGTCCCCAGCGCCCTGACCGTGGGCGCCGTAGGAGGCCAACCCTAAGGCCCCAGCTCCGGACAAGGCGCCCAGGCGGCGAAAAGCTGTCCCGAGACCCGCCATGGCAGTGAATGGTCACGCGCTAGACCAACACCTCCCAGGCCACCCAAGAGGCCAACCAATCCCGATCGCCCATGCAAATAAGGTTCACAGGTGCCCAATCCAGGCCGTGTTCATTTCAGCGTTCAGGTCTCCACCCACGTACTGGCGTCTTTGTAAAACTGCTACGGAGTGGTGAAGACGTCTGGCGGGCGGAGAAACGATAACCAATTAGGAGAAAAGGAACGGAGGAGTAGGGGGCGGGTTTGAAGGCGGGACTAGAGGGTTTGCGTCACGGATTGGCCCACTTTCCAAGTTGATCGCCTCTCCGAACCCTCCCCCTCACCTCCGGCCAATTTCCAGAGATCCTGGTCCCCACACAAAGTTCCGCCTCTTTACCCCACAGGCTCCTCCCGTTCTGTTTCAAACCAGACCCACTCCCCCAAAGAGGAGGCTCCCCCACTGGATACCCAAGCCCCACCCACCTATGTCAAACCCCGCCCACTAGAAGATGGTTCCTCCTTCATGCCAAAAGGTGCCTCCTTCTCTATATAATGCCCCGCCCCTTATCATTCGACCCTTACCCCCTCAGATCACTTGAGCCCGGAGGTTGAGAGATGGGGGTGGATATCTACACCCTGCCCTGGCCCGCTATGTCCTTCGGTCCATCTGTCCACTCCCACCCTCTTTCAATGTCTTCAATTCCCCCACACTCCGGAGGGCGGGCGGGCAGGCGGGTGCTAGCGGGGGGTGTGCGCCGCTCTCTCGACAGGGGGCGGGGGAGGCGGCCGCGCGGTGACGCGCGGGGCTGCTGCGGCTGCTCCGCCGGCGGATCATCACTCTCGGGCTGGGATGGACGCGGGGCGGGTGGGCCCTGGCGCGCGGAGCCAGGAGTCCGGGCCTCCCGGCTTCTGAGCATCCCTCGAAGCCTATCCCACCCCCGCCTTCCCTCCTAAGAACCGAACCGACCCCAGCACCGGGGCTCCGGACACGGCTCCCGCCCTTCTCAGAATCCCCGGACCTCCTCCTCCCTCCCGCCCTCGGGATCGACTAGATCCCTCCCCCTCCCGGAGGATTCCGGCTGGATCCCTGCCCCTGCACCGCGGATCCTGCGCTCTCGTGCCCCTAGGGATTGCCGTGGACTCCTTCTCCAGCACCTGATCCTTTAGTAGCCTCCGCCTGGACCGCCTTCTGGTCCCTCAAAACCAGCCCACAGAGCCAGTGGATCCCCAATCCAGTTTTGTCTTGTTGCACCCTCTTTGCTCTACTGTCCCCACTGCGGGGTTCCCTGTTCTCGGGCTCCCCCGACCCCATCCCCTAGCTCTTCCTTTTCCTGGGGATCGACTGGATCCCGGCCCCGCCCCCCGGGGCTGGGGTGATCCCCCTCCCCCGCCGGGTGAGGCGCTGCGGTCCCGGGCTGGGCCTGCGGAGCTGCGGGGGCTCAAAGGCCTCCGCCCCCCTCCCGAAGGCCGTCCGCCCCCTACTCGGAGCCCTGGATGGAGGCACCACGGCCCCAGGGCTGAGCCAGGTAGGAGCTAAGCTGGGCAGGGTGGAGGGGGCTGCGGGCGGTCCACTGGGGTCTCCCTCTCCTTATCTCCCTCCCTGCGCCTGGTTTCCCCCAGCCTGCTCTGTCTGCGTGTCTCCGCCTAGGGATGCTCTCGCCGTGTCTCTGCGTCTTGGTCTCTTTGTCTCTGCCTCTCTCCAGTCCATGAATGATCCTTTGAATGGGCCCACAGACCCCGTGTGTTCCCATCTCCCCTCCCCCTCCTTTTCCCCTTCCCGGCCAAGCCATATTCACCACTGCAGGAAGTGGGGCCTGCGGCCTGAGCCCCCGTCCCTCAACTCTCCTCGACTGGGGGAGTCAGGCCTGGGCTAGAATGGAGAGAGCAAGGCAGAGGGATGGGGAGGAGGAGGGAGCAAGATGTGGCAGACAGAAATGAGGAGAGAAAATGGGGGAGACAGAGATGGGGAAAAGACAGAGGGGAGAAAGAGAGCATAAGCAAGCTTGCAGGAGAAATTTGGGGAAGGTGTTTGGAGGAGAGTAGAAAGAGATGAGAAAACCAAGGAGAGAGACGAAGACAGAGGTGTAAAAGGACCAAGAGATAAGAGACTGAAGGCAAGAGCTGGAGCAAGCTGGAAAAGGCCCAGGATAAATGTTCTGAAGGAGCGCTACAGATAGGAGAAAAATTGGGAGGGGGAGGCTCCAGTAATTAGAAAGGATGGAGAGAAGCTGGCTGATGGTGAAGAGGCCAGGGGCCCACAGTCCCCTAAGGGAGAGTGGGTGACAGGGGCAGGCCATGTTGGGGAGAGGAGGGCACCATGGTAGCTGAGGCCAGCCTATGTTAGGAAGAGGAGACCCTGGGGGCGCTAGCTCCAAGCCCCTTTCAGGTGATGGGAGAACAGGAGCTTAGGACAACCTGAAGAGGGGGAGGGCATGATTGGGTGTGTGTGGTAAGGATCCCTGTGTCCTCATCTCTGGAATAAATTGACACCTGCAGAGAGCCACCCGAGAGCTGGCGCCTGGCTCTGAAAACCCCGTGTCAGCAAACAGCTCTGGCGGCTGGTGGGGGGGGGGGCTTGCTGAAATAACCTAGGTACCTGCCCCCTTCAGTCTGATCTCTTCCCTTGTACTCCTGCTGCCCTGAGCACCAGGGCATCACAGCAGCAACTGTGGGGGCTGGCAAGGGGAAGGGGAGGTGAATGGTTGGGATGGGATGGAATGGAATGAGAAGAAAGATGAGAGTTGTCCCCAGGACATGGGTCAAAATGTTATGCAAAGAAGAGGTGTCTAAGGCTGTCCAAGATTGTGGGAGGAGGCAGTCAGTGGGTTCATGTGATGCCTCCCCAAGCCCACCTCAGCTTCTGTTCTCCCTAGCCAAAGGCCTTGTCTCTAGGACTAGGCTCTGATTGGCCAACTGGAGGGAGAAAGGCAGGTCTTTTAGGTCCTTGATGCACCCCATCAAGATATATACTTCCTCCTCTAGGCTAAGCTTGGGGGAAACTCTAGGACTTTGATTCATGCCTCTCCCTTCCCCCCATGCCCTGAATGAACCCCACAACCAAGTCAGACCCTTCCCCTCTTCCTCCAGACCCCCCCTCCAGGGTTAAAGCTGCAGCCCGTTGCCGAGGTAACATTGCGGGGCAGCATCTCGTCGCCCGGCAACCGGCTGCAGGATCACTCATCTGTCCCGGGATTTGCCCCTCCAGCATCCCCTCCCTACTCTAACACTGGCCTCAAGGCACCTCAACTTCTGAGGAAAGAAATGGAGAGGACCTAGGAAGAGAGGGGGTCCGGGCTGCATGAATCCTTAGAGAATTGTATGTTGAAGAGTGGAGGTGCTGGGCTTGTATAGTCCCAAGGAAGACCTGAGTCTGGCCTGGAGCAGGGGTTCAGTGCCATGAAATTACAGCTCAGGAGTAATTAACACATCAATTTCCTGATAATTACCAATACTTGGTATTTTTATTTTCTCTTCCTTGTCTATCTTGTTCCCTCCCAGGGAGGGGGGAACTGGGACTCCTGAGTCCCTGAGGAGAACCTGCTGGGAGGGATAGTGCAGCTGGAAGGGGCATACTGGGCCTTCCTCCCTTTCCTCTGGCTCGGGACATTTACCACATCTTGACCCCCACCCCTAGCCTGGGTCCCTGCTGAGGGGAGGAGGGATGCTGGACTGGGAGGGGGGAACTTGATCTGAATTCCAAGTCACTAACCACTTGTCTCTTGTTTCCCCATTTCTTTCTGTCTGCCCCATCCAATTTCCCTTCCCTTCTTCCACCTCTCCTCTGTATTTTTCTGTCTGTCTGTATCTTGCCTCCCTGTCCCGCTCTGTCTCCTGCAGGTCGGGCCTGTCTTCACCTGCTCCCACCTCTTTCCCCTTCCCCACCCCTCACCACCTCCATGGAGAGGAACAGACCCCTTCTCTGTCCAGTCTAACCTAGGACCCTCCCCACCCCCCTCCTCCCTCCTTTCCCCCCACCCCCTCCTCCCTCCTGGGGCGAGGGGGGCCTCCCTCCCTCTCCCCCCCCTTCTCTCTCTCTCCCTCCCCCCCCCCATCTCTCTCTCCCCTCTCTCACTCCCCCCATCTCTCTCTCCCCTCTCTCACTCTCCCGAGGGGGGGGTCCCGGGGAGGGAGGGGGGGTCCCCCATCAGCATGTGGCTCCTGGCGCTGTGTCTGGTGGGGCTGGCGGGGGCTCAACGGGGGGGAGGGGTTCCCGGCGGCGGCGCCCCGGGCGGCCCTGGCCTGGGCCTCAGCAGCCTCGGGGAGGAGCGCTTCCCAGTGGTGAACACCGCCTACGGGCGAGTGCGCGGTGTGCGGCGTGAGCTCAACAACGAGATCCTGGGCCCGGTTGTGCAGTTCTTGGGCGTGCCCTACGCCACACCGCCCCTGGGCGCCCGCCGCTTCCAGCCGCCTGAGGCACCAGCCTCTTGGCCCGGCGTGCGCAACGCCACCACCCTGCCGCCCGCCTGCCCGCAGAACCTGCACGGGGCGCTGCCCGCCATCATGCTGCCTGTGTGGTTCACCGACAACTTGGAGGCGGCCGCCACCTATGTGCAGAACCAGAGCGAGGACTGCCTGTACCTCAATCTCTACGTGCCCACCGAGGACGGTAAGGGCGCAGGCACACACACAGCCGGGCACCCCGTGGACACAGCCCACAGACGCACATGCAGACCCTCAGGCACTGGCACGGCTCCTGGGCTCAGGGCTAGACTTTTGTGGGAGGCAGTGCTTGCCAGCAGCTTCTTCTGCCTTCTGAGGATCGTAAAGGTGCCTGCCAGGCAGTCCCAGGCTCACATCCCACAGACAGACACTCCAGAAATTCTTTGTATCCACAGAGAGTCATTGTAAGGGTATAAGCACTGGACTAGGCTTATCCACATTGTCCTCAAAGAGGCACACACAGAGTCAGCCAGAGAATCTCAACGTGGCTACACTGTTCAGACACCTACTCCGACCCCCACTTCCGCCTCCAGGCCTGGGCTTGTCTCTGCCAGAATGCTCACTTTAGTGTAGGCTCTTCCTCTTTCCCAGGCCAGCATCCATCCATCATATCACATCTAGAGCCCTTCACTGAGCTGGGTGCCCTTGTCAGTGATTGTCACACCCTCCATGATATTCTGTCCTTTGACCCCTGTATACCTATGAAGATTCAGGAAAACTCCTGACTAAGGGGCCTTCCATTCACAGCGCAGCCCACCCATCCCCATCTTCCTTTGTGCTCTGGAGCTGCTGTTCTTATTAATGATCCCTTGTTCACTGCAATCTGCGCATACCCCCTAGCATGCTCCCCCTGGATAATTCTCCACAACCAACCTCAGCACACCAAGATTGATCAGAATACCTTCTAGTATGCACCACAGAGGATTAAAATGGGTTCCAGCTGTCCCAAAGACCAGCCTCACAAACAACCCCACATTACCCCTCTGACACCCATCTCACCACTCCAAAGCAAGGCAGCACCTCCAGAGAGACTGCTGCTATAACATCCCCCACAGCCTAGGTTTCCAGCAACCGTACACATAGACCTGGTACTCAGGACCCCTTAATGTACCCCTCACACACTCAACACCTCCACATCATGTACTCAAGTCCCACAATAGACTGTGAACCCCAGCTACTCAACTCTCAGATTAGATACCTAGCCAGCCTACACACTGACCATGTGTACTAATACCCTCACATGACCCTGCCCCTAGCACTTCTTTGAAATAATGTGCCCTGTCATCCACACAGACTAACTCTCTCTGGTGTCCCTGGATATAGATCATGTGCCCTAGAAACACCCACACATATACCCCAATAACACTGCACCTGGACCATGTGGTCCAAGAGGACACTCACACTATGGTCCCCCACCCCCTCAATGCTTCTCAAACATTTTTTACCCCAACTCCTACCTGGAGATCATCTGCAACATACTCTCCCTGCAGAGATCTTAATCCCCCAGAACCATGTTCCCTACCCCAACACACTCTACCCATCCTTCCCCAATCTCCAAGGCCCTCCACATAAGGACCACCCACTCCACATTCCTCTGCCCTCTCTAGGGCCACCTGTCCTGGTGTCCTACCCATGAGTTATTCACCCAGGTACCTCCACACACGCTGTCCATTTCAATGTTCCCCACCCCCACACTTACACATAGGCTGTGCACCTATCTTATAACCCCTGGTGTGAAACATCCATCCAACACTTCCCACCAAAGGACTGTCCCCTGCCCCCACACCACCCAGGCCCACAGCTATATTTTTAACCATCACTTCTTGTAGACCTACTTGGGGCCTGACACATCCAGGTGATCTCACTGAATCTTCACACCAGCTCTGGAGGGAAGAGGTTGACTCAGGCGCGCACCATACACACACGCATACACACACACTCTTCATATTCTTCTGGGTACACATGCCCTGATGACTTCATCCCCATCCCCATCTTCTCACAAAGCAGTCCTGTTCCCACTGGGTAGCCAGTTAGGAAAACCCTTCCAGAGTTGGCCTGGTCCTTACTGACCCATCCTTACCTGTACTGGTCCCCATACCATTGAGGAAAATCCAGCCAGCCTGGGGGACCTCCAAGACCTCTGGGTTTCTGCTCTGCCCTGACCAGTTCCCCCAATCTGAAAGGACGCTGGAGCTAGTCTCTGGCCCTAATCTGGGGCCTGTTCCTGTCCCTGAAGTTGGGCACTCTTTGTGCCTCCTGGCACCTTATGTGTCAGGCTAGCTCAGGGCACTGTGTGTTCTGTTTCCTATTTGTGGACTGAACCCCCAGGTGGGGAGGGAAGCTTTTTGGCAGTGGAGCAGGGGTGGGTAGATGGGGGTGGCTGGTGGCCTTGGTGGGAAGTTCACCATTTTGGGGGGAGGAGAGGAAGTCTGGGTAGGGGTGAGGTTGGGGGAGAGCGGAGGGATGAGTTGGAGTGGAGGGCAAGACCTGATGACCCCTGTCCCTGCTTTGCCTACACTGGGGAGCTGGAGGAAAAAGCCAGGCCTGTGAGTGTGGATAGAGGAGAAGTGCTGGTGGGTGAGACTGGGTAGGGGGCAGACAGCCTTAGCTGACCTACCCACAGCCCCCCCAGTGGGGAGTGGAAGGCTTCTGGGACTGAGGTATGGGGGCAGGTTGGCCCCCAAACCCGTGATACCCGCTGCCCTCCAGACTGGTCCAGAGGGAAGCAGAGTCCTTTCTGCTGTACCCTGTCCTCCCTATAGCCCTGGTGGGGTAGCAGGCAGGTGCTTGGCTGTGTGGCAAGCTGGCCTTGGTCTTGTGGGGCTCCAGGGCAGGCTTCCCCTCCCCTGCCACCCTGCTTCTAACACCGTTTCATTTCCAGCAATTAGCAAACACACTCATAAGCCAAATCCTTTCCAGACAAGTCAATATCTCTTAAGACAGGCCTCAGCCCTCTCAGGCACCCACCCCCCCAAAACCAGCCTTTTCTTTGGGGCATGACTTTTTCTGGGGCGGGGAACAAAATTGGGTTGTTGTAGAAACGTTTTTCTCTTTTCTTGGTTTCTTTTTCTTGCAAACAAATTTTGCTTTTTTTGGCTTATTTTTTCTGCCTCCCCCACCCTCCCCTTTTCTGCTTTCTGTCCTCCCCTCCCCATCCACTACCTCCCCCGACCCCCATCTTTCCCCACAAAATTGTCCTTTTTTCTCTGTTTTGTGTTCCCGGTCTTAGGTCCGCTCACAAAAAAACGTGACGAGGCGACGCTCAATCCGCCAGACACAGGTAGATTTAAAAATCCCGCTGCTGCATGTGGTTGCTTATAAGAGGACGTTCATGGCCCTGCCCCTAACTAAATGTCCCCACAGCCCTCAAGGCCCCTTAGCTGTTCTCCCAACTAAAAATGAAAAAGAAAAGAAAAGAAAAATTTTTAATAATTGGAAAAGAAATTATGAAAACTTCAAACAAAATCTGAACAATGTTGGACCCATTAGAAAACCTGTGAAAAAGTCTAAACCTGGTGAAAAAAAAAAGAAATTGGAATGTCAGAAAAAAGCCAAAGAATTGGATAAAATGTTAAGTGTTTGAAAGAAATTTGGACGGTTTTGAAACTTATGGAATATAACATTTGAAAAAATAATTTTAGGGTGGCACCTGTGACTCAAAGGAGTAGGGCGCCAGCCCCATATGCCAGAGGTGGCGGGTTCAAACCCAGCCCTGGCCAAAAACTGCAAAAGAAAAATAAAATAAAATAATTTGAATTTGGAGCAAAATAACATTTGAAAAAAATGTATAAGTTGGCAAATTGACACAATCGAGACATCAAAAACCTGCTGCAATTTCTAAAAGCCTGTCAGACGCAGAAAACGCAAACATTTGACATGAATTAAAGAATTTGGAAATTTTTGAAAACAGGGCCCAATATCTTGAAGTTTCACACAAAATTTTGAAAAAAATATGCAAAGAATTTTTTTCTTTTTTTCTTTTTTTCCAAAATGGATCTTTTTGTTTTTTCTTTTCTTGTTGAATCTGCCCCGAGAGCTTCTTGCTTTTTGGTTGTTGTTTTTTTCCTTCTTTCTTTCTTCTTTCTTGATCCTGTTTTTTGTTGTTGGTTTTGAATTCTTGTTGCCCCAGCCCCTCTTCCTGCCTCCTTCCCTTTCTGACCACCATCCCCACCCCCAACACTGGGAGAGGGGTGGGGCAAGGGTGGGGAAGAACTGAGGACATTTAGGACAGGACCTTGGAGGGAGGGAGATTTCAGCCTAAAACTGCTGGGAAGTCACTTGGGGTTCAAGAACAAATGAAGGGAAGAATGGGATTTGGGGAGGACATAGGGTGCTGCCCACCTAGGAGCTCTGGCTGATGCCGCCAGGAGCATGGAAGCTGCAGGGGTCTAAGAGATAAAAGACAGGTTGAGAGTCAAGGGGCTGTCTAGTGACCTTCAGGTTGATCTTCTGGCAGGAGGAAAGTTTCTACCAGGATGAGGGAGATGAGCAGAGCTGAAACCAGGTGTGCAGGGAGGCTCAGGCCCGGCTTTTGTTTGCTGAGTGTCCAGGCTAGTCAGGGATGAGAGGTGTAAAGAAAGGTCAGGGGTGACCCCCAGCTCTGGCACCTTGGTCAGATCATGAGAGAGCTGCAGGGGAGAGTACATAATCTTGGGACCCTGGAAGCCCTCTCAGATTCCCACGTTCTTCTGGAATTAGTCACCCCTCAGCCTGGTCTGAAGTGTCTCAAGGGCCAACCACATGTGGCAGTGATTAGGGATCCTTTTGGGACAGCAAGAGAGGGGATCCAGTGCAGAACCCAGGGTTCAGGCCAGTTTTCAGGGGTCCAAGTCTAGAGAACATCCTGACTTCACTAAGCAGGCTCTTTCCCACCCTGCCTCCTGCCACAGTAATTAGGCTGGGGGTTGCCATGGTGACTAGGGAGGTGACCTAGAAAGGAATTAGGGCAGGGAGGAGACCAAGCCCCCAGGGACCCTAGGTCTGGCACCCCCTCACCCACAGACCAGGGTACCATGTGGAGCAGAAGCCTAAAGGCCTGAGTCAAGAGGAGATGCCAGGACCATCCCAGCACCTCTAGCTGTAGTTCTATCCTCAGGAGCCCGCTCTTCCCAGGAGCAAGAAGGAGATTTGCTTCGTGTGTGTGTAGGAGGGCCTTCTCTGGATCTAGCAGGTGCCCTAAGGAGGGCCGCCTTCCACCCCCAGCCTCTGTTGGGCTTCTTGGAAGGTCTCCCCAGCATTCAGTGAAGTGCTGTTGGGTTAGGCTATCAGGGGATGCTGGAGGGACCTTCTGCCAGGACTAGCTGGGGAGGGAGGAGGGGAATCCGGTCTTGCCCCCCAGGGATGGGAGTGACATGTCTCCAGAGCTCCAGGCTGATCTTCAACAGGCTTGGGAGCTGGGCAGTGCTTCTTCCGGTCTGACCGTGTCCTTGTCCCTGACCCCCTGGACCACCTGCACACCCCTTCCCCATGCAGATATCCGTGACTCTGGGAAGAAGCCTGTGATGTTGTTTCTACACGGCGGCTCCTACATGGAGGGCACCGGGAACATGTTTGATGGTTCAGTCCTGGCCGCTTATGGCAACGTCATCGTAGCTACACTCAACTACCGTCTTGGGGTGCTTGGTGAGGGTGGGCAGCCAACTCTGGAGGGTGGAATCTGGGAGGTGGGCCTGATGGGCAGGGTTCCTCCAAACCCAGCAGAATGGGGTCAGGGCTAGACTGGGCTGCCCAGAAAGGGGACAGGGACACTGTGACACCTTCAGGGATCCCCTTCTTCTGTCCCCAGGTTTTCTCAGCACCGGAGACCAGGCTGCAAAAGGCAACTATGGGCTCCTAGACCAGATTCAGGCCCTGCGCTGGCTCAGCGAAAACATTGCCCACTTTGGGGGTGACCCTGAGCGTATCACCATCTTCGGGTCTGGGGCAGGAGCCTCCTGTGTCAACCTTCTGATCCTTTCTCACCATTCGGAAGGTACCAGCAGTGTCTCCTGACTGCCCTGTCCTTCCCTCTTCCCACAGTCCTAACCCTGCCAGCTCCCTTTTCTCTTTCTGGCTGATACAGCCTGGCCTGAGATCTGCCTGTCTCACCAGGGCTGTTCCAGAAGGCCATTGCCCAGAGTGGCACAGCAATTTCTAGCTGGTCAGTGAACTACCAGCCGCTCAAGTACACGCGGCTGCTGGCAGCCAAGGTAGGCTGTGACCGGGAGGACAGTGCTGAAGCTGTGGAGTGTCTGCGCCGGAAGCCTTCCCGGGAGCTGGTGGACCAAGATGTGCAGCCCGCCCGGTATGGGGGTGGGAGGGGGAGGGGGAGGGGCCCACATCCAGGCCTTCACTCTCCTTGCTGGTTTCTAAAGAGGTTGAGGTGAAAGGTGCCTTTGGGTGTTCCATTTGGCAGGATAGGAGGGCTTCAGGCCCCTCTAGTGCCCTCCTCTTGGAAGCTTTCCTTCACTGGAGGATCTTGGACAGAGCAAATGAGCATGGGGTGCCATCGAGTGCTCCAAGAAGACGTATGGAGGGGCCAAGCGCCCGGAAAGACTCATGAGAGGCTTTCTAGTAGGGCAGAAGGATCTTTCAGGCAGAGGGAAGCACCTGCATGTGAGCTTAGCTGGCCATGGGCTGAGAGGAGGCGGGTGAGCAGGTGATGAGACCCTGCCCCCTTCTCCCTAGCTACCATATCGCTTTTGGACCTGTGGTGGATGGTGATGTAGTCCCTGATGACCCTGAGATCCTCATGCAGCAAGGAGAATTCCTCAACTACGACATGCTCATTGGGGTCAACCAGGGAGAGGGCCTCAAGTTCGTGGAGGACTCTGCAGAGAGTGAGGACGGCGTGTCTGCCAGTGCCTTTGACTTCACTGTCTCCAACTTTGTGGACAACCTATATGGCTACCCAGAGGGCAAGGATGTGCTGCGGGAGACCATCAAGTTTATGTACACGGACTGGGCTGACCGGGACAATGGCGAGATGCGACGTAAAACCCTGCTGGCTCTCTTTACTGACCACCAGTGGGTGGCACCAGCTGTGGCCACTGCCAAGCTGCATGCCGACTACCAATCCCCTGTCTACTTTTACACCTTCTACCACCACTGCCAGGCTGAGGGCCGGCCAGAGTGGGCGGATGCAGCACATGGGGATGAGCTGCCCTATGTCTTTGGTGTGCCCATGGTGGGTGCCACTGACCTCTTTCCCTGCAACTTCTCCAAGAATGATGTCATGCTCAGCGCCGTAGTCATGACCTACTGGACCAACTTTGCCAAGACTGGGTGAGGGCCAAAGGGGCTGGGTGGGGCTGGGTGGGGCTGGGGCACCCTCCCTCCTTCGTGTGGCTATCACCTGCTGAACACCTTCTCTGTACCAGGCACTGAACTGAGTGTTAGAGATTTAGCAATGTTCTAGAGGGCCTTGTCCTTTCTGGGGGTAGGCTTACTTAGTGCCTTTGGTTTGGTGTCTGTATCTCCTTCCTCCCTTGCCTTCCCACTCCCCTACCCCCACCCAGTGTTCTGCTACTCTTTCTGACTACTTGGCAGTGTGTGTCTGAGTATGTTTAAGAGTTTGTGTCTTTCTATTTCTTTATTTCTGTCTCTGTCTCTCTTAAAACCCATTGATATCTCTCCCCTCCCCTCTGCTGCCTGATCTGTTTATTTTTCATTGTCTCTGACTGCTGGCTGGTTTCACCCTGGCTATCTCTGGTTTCCATGTATCTTTGTCTCTCTGTTCCTTTCTGTCTCTATCTCACTCAGCCTCAGCTTCTGCCTCTTCCTTGCTATCTCTTTGTCCCCATTTCTGATCATCTCTGGCAGTCTGTCTCCATCCCTATTTGTCTCTCTGTCCCTATCCATGGAAGATTCTCTGTCTCTCTGTACCCATCTCTGCCTTTCTGCCTCTATGACTTTTTCTGTGACTTTCTTATTGTCTCCTTGTCTCTCCAAATCTATGTCTCCCTCCCCATTGCCACCCACCCTCCTTCAGAGCCTTGCCCTCACTCCTTTTCCTGCGCTCCTGTGCCCACAGCGACCCTAACCAGCCGGTGCCACAGGATACCAAGTTCATCCACACTAAGCCCAACCGTTTTGAGGAGGTGGTGTGGAGCAAGTTCAACAGCAAGGAGAAGCAGTACCTGCACATCGGCTTGAAGCCACGTGTGCGTGACAACTACCGTGCCAACAAGGTGGCCTTCTGGCTGGAGCTCGTGCCCCACCTGCACAACCTGCACACAGAGCTCTTCACCACCACCACGCGCCTGCCTCCCTATGCCACTCGCTGGCCACCTCGCCCACCCGCTGGTGCCCCAGGCACACGCCGGCCCCCACCGCCTGCCACCCTGCCACCTGAGCCCGAGCTTGAGCCAGGCCCAAGAGCCTATGACCGCTTCCCTGGGGACTCACGGGACTACTCCACGGAGCTTAGTGTCACTGTGGCTGTGGGGGCCTCCCTCCTCTTTCTCAACATCCTGGCTTTTGCTGCCCTTTACTATAAGCGGGACCGGCGGCAGGAGCTGCGATGCAGGCGACTTAGCCCACCTGGTGGCTCAGGCTCTGGTGTGCCTGGTGGGGGCCCCCTGCTCCCTTCCACTGGCCGAGAGCTGCCACCAGAGGAGGAGCTGGTGTCATTGCAGCTGAAACGGGCTGGTGGTGTTGGAGCAGACCCTGCTGAAGCCCTGCGCCCTGCCTGCCCACCCGACTATACCCTAGCCCTGCGCAGGGCACCGGACGATGTGCCTCTCTTGGCCCCCGGGGCCCTGACCCTGCTGCCCAGTGGCCTGGGGCCACCACCACCACCACCGCCCCCCTCTCTCCATCCCTTTGGGCCCTTCCCCCCTCCTCCCCCAACTACTACCAGCCACAACAACACGCTACCCCACCCCCACTCCACTACTCGGGTATAGGGGGCAGCTTGGGGAGGTCTTCCTCCCCAGCCCTCCCTTGCCAGGCCACTCTGAAGGCAGGGAGGAGGACTTGGCAGTAGGCTTTTCTCCTGTGGAGTTGTCACTCATCTTCAAGCAGCATTAAGGTGGACATGGGATTCCTTACTGGGATGTATGTTTTTCCCATGCAGAGAGGCTCACTCATTCTTTTCTCTGGACCTGGGCCTTTGAACAAGTGGGGGGTGTTTTTTCCCCTCCATTGGGACACCAGTCTTCGGTGTGTGGAAATGTGGAAGTATTTTCCCACATGGAGGTGTGCTTTCTCATGAGGGGGTGTGTTTTCCCATGTGCAGGGTGAGGTTTTTTTTTGCCACCCTGGACACATGTTGGTACCCTCAAAGAATTTCTGCGGGGATTTGTACCCCAGAATCCTGTTCCTTCATGCCTTCTTCCTCCTCCTCCCTCCTCCCTCCCCCTGGAGACCCTGGAAGTGGTGTGTTCACATACAGTGACCCTTGGCCACCAGATGACACAGGGTGGTGCCTGGGAAGCATCAAGGAAATCATAGCTCCCCTCGCCCCCGCCCTACCCCCCACTCCAGCAAGCATGTCTTTCCCCATGGCACAAGTCAGATGAAGCACCTTCTCCCAAGAAGGCCCTCATAGGGGACAGACACAGATTTCTTGCTGAGGTGGAAAGAGGAGATCTGTGCATCCCAGTGCTGCCTGGAAACTTATTTTCCCACAGTCCAGGACACATTTCTCCAAGTAGAAACATGTTCTTGCATGTGGATACATGTTTTCCCAGGCAGAGGGTCCCTCTCTCCCCAGAACTCCCTGCATCTCCCAGGGCTCAGGCCTCACTGAATTCCTCCCTACACAGCAGGTGGGAACAGCCTTGGATTAACAGGATATTGACAAAGCTATGGGTACAAACCCTAGGGAAGGGCTCAGCCCTCCCTGCCCCAGAGATGCTGAGTTGGAGAAGGGAGAGCGTGGCACATGCCACCCACAGAGGCCATGCATGTTTGACCAAAGCCCTCATCAGGCTCTGAGGACAGCCTTTCCCTAAGTCCTGAGATCATTGTTCATCCATGCCAAACTGGGTAGGTGGGTTTGAGGGGGAAAGACCACCCCAAATATGTCAAGGATTCCCCAGTCCTAAACTGGGAAATGGGGAGGAGATGTGGCAGCAAAGGGGGTTCCCGCCTGTGTCTCTTCTCTCCTTACTGGGTCATACCCCCTCTCTGCCTCAGTTCCCCATGCCCCTCCATCTCTGTCCCTCTTTGAAGCTGTCTCCATCTCAGTGTCAGACCAGCCTTCTCCCCTCAGCTGACCACCCCCCCAGTTTTGACCTGTCTCCCTTGGCTGAAGAGGAGAGAAGGAGCAGTGGAGGGGAAGTAGCAGGAGAAAAGTCTCACCAGACAGGCTGGAGAAAATGAGGTCAACTGTGCCAAGGAACAGATGGGAGGTATGGAAGGGGAGAGACAGGAATTTGAAAGGAAATGTGTGGCATGACTGCCCAGAGGTCCCTGGGTGCAAGCCTCTGGGGAAAAGAGTTATGTCAGGAAGGGTTTTAAGGGACACCAGTAGAGGCAGGGAGAATTCTCTGTTGGCATGTTGTGGGATGTTAGTGCCAAACTTAAATAGGAGGTGGGATGCTGTCTTCCACTGACACCCAAATCCAAAATCCCTGGTCTTGAGTCCCCAGAACTTTGCCTCTTGATTGTCCCTTCTCCTACCTTCATCCATGGAAACTTAGTTCTTTTCTGAACCTTTCCCCTGCGTGGTCTAGCTCCTCTCCAAACAGCCATGACCTCCAAATGCTAGAGACCTGAGCCCTGAACCCTGTAGACAGATGCTCCCAGAATAGGGGCACGGGAGGGGGTCTGGGGGACCCCATGATTCAGCCACGGACTCCAATGCCCAGCCCCTCTCCCCTGAACAATCCTGACAGTTCATGTCTTTACCCCCAACCCTTTGCAGCTCTGTACACATTTTTAAACCTGGCAAAAGATGAAGAGAATATTGTAAATATAAAAGTTTAACTGTTGATTGTGCCTGCTATGTTGGGGGCATGTGGTTCTGAAGAAACAAGCCTTGGGGAAGTGACTGGATGAAGGGTCTTGACCCCAGACTTTCTTTTCATGAGGTCTGAGGTTTTCTTTTCAAGGAGGTGCTGGGGTAAGGCTGGGGCTAAGTGGAGAGTTAAGATCAAGACTCATGTCTAAGCCAGGCCAGGTGCAGTGGCTCACACCTACAATCCAAGCACTCTGGGAGGTCAAGGCAGGTGGATCTCCTGAGCTCAGAAGTTCAAGACCAGCCTGAGCAAGAGTAAGACCCTGTCTCTACTAAAAATAGAAAAATCAGCCGGGCATTGTGGCAGGTGCCTATAGTTCCAGCTACTCAGGAGGGTGGAGCAGGAGAGTCATTTGAGTCCAGGAGTTTGAGGTTACTATGAGCTAACCCACATGTGGGTACATGTTTTCCCAGAGGGTCCCACTCTCCCCAGTGAGTGGGTTAGCTCACGGTAACCCACCCAAACAGACACTGAGATGGAGACAGCTCCATGGCACACGAGCCCAAACAAGAGAGAAACTGTCTCAAAAAAAAAAAAAGAAGAAGAAAAAAATTAGCCAGGTGTTATGGCAAGTGCCTATAGTCCTAGCTGCACAGGAGGCTAAGGCAGGAGGATAACTTGTGCCCAGGAATCTGAGGTTGCTATGAGCTAAGCTGGTGCCATGGCCCTTAAGCCTGGTCAACAGAGTGAGACTCTTATCTCAAAAACAAGCAAATGAAAACTCAAGTCTATGCAGAGACCAGAGCTTGGTGTAGTTCTAGAAGGAGGGGCAGGGGCTGGCTCAGCGCCTGTAGCTCAACCGGCTAAGGTGCCAGCCACATACACCTAAGGTGGCAGGTTCGAATCCCCAGCCCGGACCCGCCAAACAACAACGACGGCTGCAACCAAAAAATAGCCAGGCGTTGTGGCGGGCGCCTGTGGTCCCAGCTACTTGGGAGGCGGAGGCAGGAGACTCGCTGGAGCCCAGGAGTTGGAGGTTGCTGTGAGCTGTAATGCCACGGCACTCTACCCAGGGGGACAGCTTGAGGCTCTGTCTCAAAAAAAAAAAAAAAAAAAGGGGCAGGGGCTGATGGGGCAGAGGCCAAACAAGCGAGAGGGCCAGTGGGCCAGTCCACGTGGCTGGCTATAGGAGAAGCATATAAGATGAAGAGTTTGGTCACTACCAAGGCCTGGGCTCAGACTCTGAGAGTAGCCCCTTGGCACATTGTGAGGGAGAGTCCCAGGGCCATTGTGACCCGTCTGCACTCTCTGGAACAGGCAGGTGGGCCAGTGGGCACTGTGGGCACAGTGGGCTGGGGGCCTGAGGGCCCTGGTGGCCCTAGGGACCCCATGGCCATGGCTGAGCGGCCTCGGCCCGGATGGGCCTCATATCACAACCCTAATACCAACAGCTGCCAGGACCTGGGCAACTCCATCCTGTTGCTGCTGGGCCTCATCATCTGCATTAACATCGGCATCAATATGGTGACCCTGGTCAGGGTGGGGCCAGGTGGGAGGGTGCTGTCGGGTCAGCCGGCGACACGCCTGCTGGCCTGGGGTCACTGTATCCTCCCCCACCTAGCTCTGGAGCCGAGTCCGTGGAATCTTACACAGAGTGTTCCATCATATCATTTGTGAGAAAGGTAGGCTGGGGGGGGGTGGTGCTGACAGAGTTGGGGACTGGAGCATAGAAGGGGTGGCAACTAGGCATTCCAACCCCAGCCCTAAGTTGGCCCTTCCCTGCTCTCTCAGACACCACAGCTGTGCAGCTTCTCTTCCCTGACCCCTGCCTCTCTACCCCTGTACAAACCTGCCTCCCTACTTGCCTTTTACCTCTCCCCAATCCACAGAAGTTCCTAAGTCTTGCTCACCTAGGAAGCAGAAGAAACCCTCAAAGAAGCAGAGCCCCCCTGAAGTCTACCTCCGGTGCACCATGGATCCCATGAAAATGACTGTGACACCCCCTCCCACTCGCCACCATCGCCATCGAGGCTCTTCAACACACCATGCCCACCACCCAGTAGCTTGGACCCCTGACACTGATGATGAGAATCCCCGGCATCAGTACCCAGCAATCTGCTCCCACCATTATGATGGCCCTGAGGGCTGGGCAGACTTCCAGTCCACCCACGAGATCTGGGCTCCCTGGACTCAGGACATTCCAGAGCCACCTCCCCAGACCATCCGCTTCCAGCAAATGGCAGAAGAAAGGCCCTTTAAAACAGAGATCCAGTCAGAGCTGGGTCTACAGGCCTATGTGTACCCTGTGAACCCCCCACCTCCCAGCCCCAAGGCCCTGTGCCACAAGAACAGTGGGGCAGGGACAGGAGCAGAGGTGGAGGTGGCTCAGTGCCAGCCTCCCCACCCACCTGCCCTAGGCCCAGCAATTGTCCCTGATATCCCTCAGCGTCGCTCCTCAGGCCAAATAGTGTATGATGCCCAGGACGTGAGGCGGCGTCTTCGAGAACTGACTCGGGAGGTAGAGGCTCTGTCCCATTGTTACCCCATGGCCTCCAGATCTAGCACTGCGGAAGGGACAGGCAAGGACTGGGTGTACCGTTCTCTGAATAGGAGGTGACTGGGAAAAAATAAAAAGGAGAGAGGAGGTTGTTTGTGGTAGACTGGGGGACACCAAGGCCCATTCAGCACCCAGAAACCTCTGCTTGCAAAGGGAAGGATCTCCTTGACAATAGGGCCCTGAGAGCCTTGGGGACCCTCATCAACCCCTTGCCCCCACAGACCCTGTCCTCAGCCCTTTCTCAGGTCCTTCATGGCTCTAAGGCTCCCACCTACCCCTACCCTGTTTTCCTGAGTGTCCAGAGAAGCCTCTAGATCCCAACCCAGATCCCTGGGCAGTCCTGCAACAGAGGGGAGACCCCCTCCCCCATGGCCTAGCTTCTCACAGGCCTGGTAACTGCCAGAGCCCAGGCTTAGGCTGTAGCTACTTAGGCTGTGGCCACTTACTCTTTGGTTTCTTTGGGGAGGGATGGCCCTCACAGTTCCCCAGTCAGACCCTGAAGCTCCTGCACCCTTGAGCAAGCTTGGAGCAAAATACAGAATATCGTGGATACTCTCAAGGGCTGCCCCACCAGGATAGCACAGTCCTGTCTGATATTGTCTATTTTATTTATTTATTTATTTTTTGCTGCTTTTGGCCAGGGCTGGGTTTGAACCCCCCAACTCCGGCATATGGGATCAGCACCCTACCCTTTTGAGCCATAGGCACCGCCCATAAGGTTTGCTTTTTTTTTTTTTTGCAACAGAGTCTCACTTTATTTATTTATTTATTTATTTTTGAGACGGAGCCTCAAGCTATCCCCCTGGGTAGAGTGCCATGGCATCACAGCTCACAGCAACCTCCAACTCCTGGGCTCAAGCGAGTCTCCTGCCTCAGCCTCCCAAGTAGCTAGGGCCATTTTTTTTTTTTGTTGCAGCCATCATTGTTGTTTGGCGGGCCCGGGCTGGGGATTCGAACCCACCACCTTAGGTGTATGTGGCTGGCGCCTTAGCTGCTTGAGCCACAGGCGCTGAGCCAGAGTCTCACTTTATCGCTGTTGGTAGAGTGCCATGGCATCACACAGCTCTCAGCAACCTCCAACTCCTGGGCTTAAGCGATTCTCTTGCCCCAGCCTCCTGAGTAGCTGGGACTACAGGCATCTGCCACAACACCCAGCTATTTTTTTGTTGCACTTTAGCCAGGGCCAGATTTGAATCCGCCACCCTCGGTATATGGGGCTGGCAGCTTACCCACTGAGCCACAGGCGCCGCCCTTGATATCTTCTAATTAGCCCACCACATCACAAACTTAGAGACAGAGGCTCTGGGAGGCCAAGTGATTTGCTCATGGCTAACCCAGACACCAAAGATCAAGTTCATGTCGGCAGATATCTATCTCCCTACTTCTGCAGATTTCTTATTGCCACTGAGTCACCCTACTAGAATCTCCCACCTTTCTCCACTGGGCAGCAGGGAAAGTCAGGCCCTGCTCTACTCCTAGACCATTGGAATCACATGCACAAGCATGCATGCGAGGGGTGGGGTGTGGGAGGGGTGTGCATGCGTGCACACACACACACCACACACACCCTGGGAAGCAGCCGCCCTGTGAGTCCAGACTGAAATGATGGAGCTGGACCTCACCTTCCACACTACATAGATTCCTGGAATGTGAATCGCCCTACTTCTCCATTCATTTACATTCAACTAATGTTATTGATCATTTTAAGCTAATGACATTCAGTGGATATGTACTGAGTATCTGCTGTGCGTTTGGAGGCTTGATGGGGAATGTTCATCAGCCTTACCTCTATTTCAGCTGAGCAGTTCACTGTGTAAATGGCTGTGGCCCCTAGGGCTCCACTTCCACAGACCCCAGTGATGAATCTGGTTTAAATTAAAGACTCCTTTTGTCATATCAACAATTAGATCTATTTTGTGCTTTGATAATTTTTGGGATTTTCTTAAGGTTTTTCTTTAACACTTTCTCAACTTGGAGTGGTAGTAGGTCAAGGGGAGGGCAGGTGTTTAGGCAGTGGTTGCTACAGGGGCAGAAACTTCATCAAGGACGTCAGTCTGCCTCTAAAGGGAAGGGGCCAGTGGGTTAAGGGACCACCAACACCTAGAGCTTCAGTTCCCAGCCAAGAAGTTAGTTGGGCAGGGATGGATGCTTGAGGAATTATGGCAGGGAAATGGGCAGGATAGAGAGGGATTGTTATAGCAAAATAACCCCCAAGCGGACTGTAGCTATCACCCAGCTATCCAGTCATCCTACCTGCTGGCCCCAGAGTAGGCATGGGGTGGGACAGTAGGCTGTATAAATTGCCATAATGTGGGTAGTGCTGTGGCTCAAAGGAGTAGGGCACCAGCCCCATAGGCCAGAGGTGGCGGGTCCAAACCCAGCCCCGGCTAAAAACTGCAAAATATATATATATATACACACTATATATATATATATATATATATATATATACTATATATATATATACACACACACAAAATAATAAATTGCCATAATGTCTCTAAAGAACAATGAAATGGAGGAAATCCTTCATGCATGATTCAACTGTGAAGACTCACAAATTCCCTATTTTCAGGTCAAAAACCAGGTGTAGGATTAAGCAAGCTTCATGAAGACGGCAACAGACGGTACTCTGGGGTACCTAGGGACTGGGCATTATCAAGTGGGAGCCAAAGGCAGAGACAGCCACATAAAAGTCCAGCAGGGTAAATAGAAGAGCTTCCACCATTGCATTGTGATGCTCCCTAACCTGCCCCATTATGACCTGGCTCCCCTCACCAGCCAGTAGGTATCTCCAAGTGCCAGCATGAGTGCAGTGTGGGTCGGGGCTGGGAAGGTGGGGGGGGGCGTGGCCCAGGTGGCCCTAGGACCCCCCCACCATGGAGAACCAACTATGGCATAACAGCGTGGGGTGCTGCAGTCAATACCAAGAAAGCCCCCAGGATGCTGAGGACATCTTATTCTTGCTGCTGGGCCTCATCATTCTTGTCAACATTGGCATCAACATGGCAACTGTGGTCAGTGATGGTTGTGGACAATCCTTAGGGGTGAAGAGGGCTGGGGCGGGGGCGGAGCCAGCTGCAGCCTGTTCCTTCACCAGCAATCTTGACTGGGCCAGGGTGGGGTGCTGCAGGGTGCAGAGCCAAGCCTTCTCTCCCATTCTACCTGCCCCTAGATGTGGCATGGGCTGCAGAACGCCTTAGACAAGATGATGGATTGCACAAACCAGAAAAGTAAGTATGGCAGCTGGAAAGGAAGAGGATCCCCCACCCCGACTCCCACAACCCAAAAAACCCATCCCAGTGCTCCCAACTCTGACCTGATAACTGCCCTGACCTCATGAACTGTTGCCTCCCCCAGAGGACATTCAGGCTTATGAAAGCTCCCCCAAAAGCCTCCCAGCCAAGGCCAAGGACATGCAGATCCACTGCATCCTGGACCCTGTACAGGTGAAGATGACCCGACCCACACAATATTCCTCTTCCTCTTGCCACCATCCCTGCAAACACCGTCACAGCCGCCGTCGAAGCCGCAGCCGCAGCCGCTGTGGAAGCCGCAGTCGCAGTCGCATCCACCATCGCCGCTATCGCCGCTGCAGGCCCCAGCAAAGGACACAAAACCGCAGACGATTCTCCCATGGCCGCTCTGGCTTCTGTAACCAACATCACAGCCACAAGATGTCACAGCCAAGGCCAATGTCCTACCTTGATGGGGAGGACCAAGATCCCTACCTGGAGGAGGAGGATGACATGGCCTTTCCATACCCCAAGTACCCACGTGGGGGCTGGGGTGGCCTCTATCCACGAATGGGCCTGCCTTCCAACGTGGGGCTGTGGGGCCGCCGGGGTGGGATCCTGGCCAGCCTTCCCCCACCCTCTCTTTACCTGTCACCTGAGCTGCGCCGCATGCCGAAGCGTGTGGAAGCAAAGTCTGAGTTGAGGCTGCAGTCCTATGGGCCCTCACAATCCCGAATTTGGGGCAATATGGAGACTGAGCAGTGCACTTCATCTCCACCACCTGCCCGCCGGCTTCCCCCTAACCCTACTTGGGTCCCTGCGGGGCACAGCCCTTACCCCTCAGCGGGCCTAATACTGTACGATTCTTGGGATCAGCGGCGGCATGGTGAGAGCTGTGAGCCCCCACCTTTCTCGGTGTCTCGGAACTCCCGGCAGGAACCCCAGGGCTATCGGGAGTGTTATTCTCCGCAGTCCCACCGGCGGAGCCTGCCTGGTCATGGTCACTGCCAGCCCAACCGCAGTCCCCACCCATCCCTGGGACACTTGGGCTACAGCTCCAGGAATTCCCACGAAATCCGGCGCCACGTGCTGGACTGGGCTGAGGCTCCACCCACTCGGTATCCCCTGACCACCTCCACCTCTCTCACAGTTCTGGGAGAGACCTCATATCAACGGGCGCCCGCTGCTAGCTCAGCGCTGCTCCCCCACTCTTCCCAGCCTCTATCTGAAGTCCAAGCTGCTGATGCTGCCTCACCTCCGACCACCTTCATCCCACTCAGCCGGAATCCAGGGGGCAATGTTAACTACCAGGTGTACGACAGCCAGGAGCTGAAGCGGCAGGTGCAGGAGGGCAGAATAAGGGCCCACTCACTGCCACTACCTTCCACTTCAGCCTCCAGACCCTCCCTGCACAGGTCCCGGGCGGGGACACTCAGCTGACCAGCAGGCAAAAGTGGGCAGTGGAACAGGACATGGGGAGAGGAATAAAGAGAAACAGAGTCCAGGAAACACTGTAGTGGTCTGTGCTTTGGAAGCGTCACTCCTTCCACCAGCCTGGATCCCTGCCCTTGACTTCCTGAAACAAACAAACAAAGAAAAAAAAAACAAACAGTGTCCCCTTCTTGGTGTGAGGCTTCTTTTGCCCGTTCTTGGTCCTGTACCATGCATTAAGTAGATCTTGCAGTGGCAGGCTCCAAATCTCTAGCTACCCACTCTGGTTCTCTGCTTTGCCTGTTCCCAAAGGGGGATCAAATGTTCAGCCCCACTCAAGACACAAGTCAAATCAGACCTAGGGATTCCACATCTAGGCACATTCAGGCTTATGGCCTAGTGAAGGGAAGAAAGAAAGCCTAGATTCCAGCCAGACCTCCCCGAGGGCTCTTAGGAGCCCTGGGCTGAAGTCTTCCCAGTCTCAAGTGTGGTCCTAAGTGAAGGGCTCCAGCTGGGCATGGTGGCTCATGCCTGTAATCCTAACACTCTGGGAAGCCAAGACAGGTGGATTGCTTGAGCTCAGATGTTCAAGACCAGCCTGAGAAAGAGTGAAAAACTCCCATCTCTACTAAAAATAGAAAAACTAGCCAGGTGTTGCAGTGGGTTCCTATAGTCCCAGTATTCAGGGCTGAGGCATGAGGATTGCTTGAGCCCAAGAGTTTGAGGTTGCTGTGAGCTATGATGGCACTATAGCACTCAACCCCAGGGTGACAGAGTGAGACTTGTGTCTCAAGAAAAAAAAAAGAGTGAAGGGTGGCACCTGCAGCTCAGTGGGTAGGGCGCCAACCAAATACACTGAGGCTGGTAGGTTCAAACCCAGCCTAGGCCAGATAAAACAACAATGACAACTGCAGAAAAAAAAATAGCCAGGCATTGTGGCAGGCTCCTGTAGTCCCAGCTACTTGGGAGGTGGAGGCAAGAGAATTGCTTAAGCCCAAGAGCAGGGGTCCTCAAACTTTTTAAATAGGGGCCAGTTCACTGTCCCTCAGACTGTTGAAGGGCCAGACTGAGGGCCCTGGGACGAGTTGGCTGCTAAGCAGGACAGGCAGAAGAGGCAAAAACACCTGGCAGGCTGAATAAATGTCCTAGGCAGGCTATAGTTTGAAGACGCCTGCCCAAGAGTTTGAGGTTGCTGTGAGCTGTGACACCACGGCACTCTACCCAGGACAAAGCTTGAGACTTTGTCTAAAAAAAAAAAAAAAAAAAATGAAGAGTTCAAGGATCATCAGTGGAAACTGCAGGAGTGATGGAATGAGTGAGAAGGCAAGTGCGCTGGCTTCTAGGCCCTGCTTAACTGTCTATACTCAGGTTTCTCAAACTGTCTGCCAGGGAACTCCACTCTGGGCTCTCTTTTTCCTCCACCTCCCTCACTTTTTTTTTTTTTTTAGAAACAGAGTCTCATTTTATCACCCTTGGTAGAGTGCTGTGGCATTATAGCTCACAGCAACCTCCAGCTCTTGGGCTTAAGTGATTCTCTTGCCTCAGCTTCCCAAGTAGCTGGGAATACAGGTACCCGCCACAATGCCTGGCTATTTTTTTTTTTGCAGTTTGGCCAGGGCTGGGTTTGAACCCACCACCCTCAGTATATGGGGCTGGCACCCTGCCCACTGGGCCACAGGCGCCACCCCCTCCACCTCTCTCATTATGACCCAACCACCTGCCTCATTATGACTCAGTCCTTGTCCCCTCCCCCATCATAGGAGTCTGGTTTCTAGTGAGTATGTGGGGGCCAGGGGGCCCAGGTAGTCCTGGGACCCCAGGCCATGGGTGAGCGAGCCCACCACGGAGCCCAAGTATGCTCCGGCACCAACCCTAGGAAGTGCCAAGACTTAGGAGACTCAATTCTTCTGATTCTGGGCAGCTTCATCTTGCTCAACGTGGGGATCAATGTGGTGACTCTGGTCAGGGAAGGGTCTGGGCAGGGTCTGGGTTGGGGGAACTGTGGGGTCTCAAAGAGGCTGAGGTGGGAGGGCTGCTGGGATATGGCCAGATAGGGCTTGACTTCAGGGTTCAACCTACCTCTGGACTCTCCCTTCCCCTTAGCTCTGGAGGCATCTGAAGAGCTCCTTGCGGATTCTTTTCCATCATTTTTTCCCCAAAGGTGAGTGGGCTCTAGCATGAGCTCCTGGGGATGTGGGCCTGCCCCTTTTCTTCCATCCCTGTCCCAATTCTCAGCCCTAATGAACCCAGGCCCTGATCATCCCACCTCTCCCTGCAGACAAGCAACCCAGTAGTGTAGGCAGCCATCCCATGTGTACGCGCTGCTCCACGGATCCCAAGAACCTGTGCTCAAGAGTCTCTTCTCGCTTCCATCGTCGCCCAAGCTTCCTGCTCAGGCACGCTAAGAATCTTGACTCCTGGATACCAGACACGAATGATGAGAAGGTTTCTAGATGCTGCTGGATGCCACCTCAATGTGGACATGCTGGGGCTCCCATGGAGGCTCCACAGGGACTGTGGAAGGAGAGGATCATGGCAGCTGGGGAGGCCCCTCAGGTTACAGCCTTAAAGGACCAAAACTCCTTGCTCTTCAGGCCAGAGACATCTTCCCAGTTCCCAAAGATGAGCAAGTTGGACATGGTTCCACTCCACTTGCCCCAAGAAAGCAAGACTAAGACCCCAGACTATGTCCCAGTCCAGGTCCCTGCCCAGGCCACAGCTGAGGCTCAGACCCACTCCCCAGCCCACATACCTGAGCACACTCCTGTCCAGACCCAGACCTATTCTCCAGCCCACATCCCTGAGTACACCCACTCCCAGGTGCAGGGCCCTGAGCATGCTTCAGCCCATGAGTCAGCCCACACCCCACCCTCTATCCCAGCCCACTCCTCGGCCCATACCCCAACCCAGACTCTGGCCCATACCTCAGCCCACATCCAATCCCAAGCTCCAACCCAGGCCAAGAGCCACTCTCAGACCCACATCCCTGAGTACACCCCCTCCCAGGCCCACAGTCCTGACTATACTTCAGTCATTGCCCCAGCCCACACCTCTGCACATGCCTCCACCCACTCCCAGGCCCAGGCCCAGGTCCCTGACTATGCAGCAGCCCATGCCCCAGCATATGCCCCAGACCATTCTCATCTAATCCATATCTCTGCCCACACCCCAGCTCCTGTCCCAACTTCTGCCCCAGCCACTACTCCTACCCTTACTCCTACATCAGACTCTGCTCCAGCCTCTGCCCCAAATCTTGCCCCAACACAGGTCATGGGTGTGACTACAACTCAAACCCAGGCTCCTGTCCCTGCCACCACCCCTACCCCTATCCTAACTCCTGTTGCCTCTACTCTGCCTGCCTTTAACCATGTCCACACCACTGGCCATGTGGTCTATGATGCCCACAAGGCAAAGCAGAACTTATTCCATACGTGTAACCCCCAGAACTCTGGGTATTCCAGAAAGGACTTGAATGTCCTCTCCAGGCTCCAAGAGTGTCAGAGCATGGTGAGCTCTGGTATATCTGAACAAACGTCAAAGCAACACAGTGGGGATAGTGCCAAGCCTCCTGCAGGATCCATACTGGGCTACCTAGAACTAGGGAATATGGAATGGAAGATCTCAGATGATGCCAAAGACAAGCCTAAGACCTTCCCTTACTGCAGTTTCCATCCTTGCAATTCTGAGAGGAAGAATACAGACTCCCAATCTCCAGTCTACCCTAAGATCCTAGTCTATTCCCAGGATGATGCATCTTCTAAACCTTGTTTTCATTCTCCAACCATTGCCCGGAACGCACCGTGTACCCTTCCTCCACCATGTACTCTTTCCCTGCCACTTGTTCCCCCTAGATCATTTAACATTCCTCAACCCACCAACCATCAGAAGCCCTCCACCTTAACACAAACTCCCACCTTTCTCCCAACCTCCAAGTCTCCTTGGTCTATCCCTCCTTCCCAACTCTCCCCCCAGTTCTCCACTATTTCCCAAAACTTTATCCAACCCCAATGCTCTAAACTTCATGAAAGTCTAGGCCTTACTCAAGACCCTGGCCTTCAAAGGACCCCAGGCCCTTCAAAAGACTCTGGAGTTCTCAGGAACTCAGGCCTTACTCAAGATCCAGGCCTGCACAAAAACCCAGGCCTTATTCAAGATCCAGGCCTCCACAAGAACCCAGGTCTTGCTCAAGATCCAGGCCTACACAAGTTTTCACACCTTACCCAAGAACCTTATCTCTGCAAAAATACAAGCCCTCCCCAAGACTCTGGCCTTCACAAGAATCCAGGCATCACCCAAGATTCTGGCCCCCCAAAGAACCCAAATCCTACTCCAGATGCTGATGTTTTTAGAAGGCCATGCCTTACCCAACCCTCTGGCTTCCACAAGAATATACCTTTTACTCAAACTTCCCAGAGGAGTTCAGGCTTTATGCAAGACTCCGGAGTCTGTAAGAATCTTGAACAAAAACAAGAGACTACAGTCTACAAAAGTCAAAATCTTTTCCAGGCACCTGACCACCAAAAGAATCCAGGCCCTTACCAAGATTCTGGAGGTTGTAAGAGTATAGGCAACATCCAAGATCCAGGAGTTTATAAGATCCTAGGCCTTACCCAAGATTCTGGACCCCAAAATAGTTCATGCCTTGTCCAAGACTCTGAAGTCAACAAGAGCTCAGGACTTACTCAGGAATCTTCTATCCATAAAAGCCCAGGCCTTGTTCAAACCTCTGATCCCCTAAAGTGCTCAGGCCTTATCCAAGACTCAGGAGACTATAACAATGCAGGCCACGCCCAGAACTGTGGTGTCTATAGGGTCCCAGGTCTTAATCAAGATTCTAAACTCCACAAGAGTTCAGGCCTTACCCAGGCCACTGAAGTTGAAAGATTTAGCCTTCCACAAGATGCTAGAGTTTACAGGAGTCCTGCATATTGCCGAGATCCAAACCTCCATACATACCCAGGAATTAATCAAGACCCTGGCCCTCATAAGGACCCAGCTGTTGTCCAAGACTCTGGCCTCTCCAAGACTTCAGGCCATACTCAGGAATTTGGTCTCCCCAAAAGCCCAAACCTTGCTTCAGCTACTAACTCTGTCCAAGTCTTGTGCCCGCTTCAGACAACAAAATCAACACGATCTCAAGTAAAATTTGCATCTGAGAAGTCTCCTCAGAAAGAAGAAACAAAGCAGCACATACCCCAGGCTTCTGCACCAGACAATCAGAACTCCTGCTCATACAAGGCGCAGGTGATATCCAGCGACCTGCAAACCTTCTCAGCGGTACCTGTACTAATAGAGCTGCAGCCATCCTCCCGGCGGACAGGCAGCCAAGAATGGGTATACCGCCCTGTGGATGCACTTACTTCAGGCTGCCAGAACTATCGTCAGATATCTATGCCTCCCAAAATCAATGGGAAGTACCACTACCCTGGACCAGGCACCCGGGGGGGCCATGTGGTCTTTGATGCCCGCCAGAGACAGTTGGCAGTGGGCAGGGACAAATGTGAAGCTCTGTCTCCCAGGCGTCTTCGCCAAGAGGCACCCTGCAACCCAGGGGAAACCATCAAAGAGTGGGGATATCAGAATGTGATGAGGACCTCGAACAAAGAGGGGACAAATGAGCATCAGGAATAAAGAGGCAAGAGAAGTGTTTTGTGGTTGTTTGAGGATATCTATCCCACAGAGCCTGACGATCACTGGAGCTGTTATGTTCCTATTCCTCCTCCCATTACCCTCAAGGCCCTGGAGCTAAATTGTCCAATACAGTAGCCACTAGCCACTAGCCACATGTAACTACTAAAATGTAAACTGCAATTAAATAAAATGCAAAATTCTGTTTTAATCTCATCAATATCATTTCAAGTGCTCAATAGCCACATGTGGCTAGTGGCTACTGTACTGGACAGGACAGCAGCAATTTAGGACATTTCCATCATCACAAAAATTCTATTAGAGAGCAATGCTTGAGAGTTTAAGAAATACTGTTTTCTGGGAGGCACCTGTGGCTCAGTGAGTAGGGCGCCAGCCCCATATACTGAGGGTGGCGGGTTCAAACCCAGCCCCGGCCAAACTGCAACAAAAAATAGCCGGGTGTTGTGGCGGGCACCTGTAGTCCCAGCTACTTGGGA